AAACCAGCATTGTCTACTGCCTCACTGTCTGATTTCCGCATCCTCTTTCGCATCATGCCATCTGGGGTGTCAATCTGGGTTCCCAGAAATTCCTCGATTTTGTCCCGCTGCAACTTGTAGATTTCATTGACCGTTGAGCAGCCAATTACATATTCTCGAGCGATAGCTGCTTGTGAGGCTCCACCATCAATTCTCTTGATGATTTCTTGCTTATCAGCGAGGGTCACGATTTTCTTTTTCCCACGATGAGCTTGGAAGACTTCGGAATATGCAGCAGAAAAGCGATAAAAGCATAGATGTGTACTCAAGCACTGTAACTAGCAGAGTGGGAAGATTGTAAGCTGTTTTGGCCATTTGAACCTTTTGAAAGCGGCTGCTGTCTTCAAACTCAAAAATCAAAGCTACCGCTCAGAATCAATCACTGCAGCTGTGGTGAATCTCGATGACTTGTGTATCAGCGGCACCCTCTTTAGCCTATTGTTAGTGCAGTGCTATGGTGCACGTGTGGTTTTCCTCTGTACCCGAATACGGAGTCCCAAAACCAGTGTCCATTCATTTCCATTGCCTGATTAATCCTGCGTGCTGTGGCCATATTAGAAGACGACTTTGAACACATGCCATGCATGCTGACCAATGACTTACGTACCCAGTTTCTCAGCTAGCTAATTACAATTAATTCTTCAACAACTGGTGGCTTTCCCTTCTAATCCTTGGGGAAATAATGGCCACTTGTTACTCTTCAACATAAAAAAACGTGACTATTTCATCAAGTTGACGTTCGGGAATTACAAACAGCTACTGCATAATGTTCAGTAGGTTTTGTGTACAAAATATTGGGAGCCAAGGACAATGTTCGGTACAGCCGAATGTTCAGTATAGCGGTGTTCGTTACAGCGGCATTCCACTGTATAAGGAAATTGGTGGCACTGACAGTTTTTCGACATTAACACACATGTTGGTGAGTGAAATTTTAGAGTAACGTGCTCAGAATTTGCCATTGTATCGATCCAGAGGTAGACCAACCCGTCTTCCTGGTCCAGGTAGACTGATAGGAAGACGTTTTGCTGTAGAAATTCCCCCAACTGGAAAACGAGCTTCATTATACAGACGGTGTGATGTCTGTTCTAGAAATGGCAAAAGAAAAGAGATTAAATTGATGTGTGAAATTAGGCAAGTTCCACTTTGCGCTGCTCCTTGTTTCAAGGTTTATCACACTTGAATCACACTTGAATCAACTTATTTATGTAAAGTGTCCTGTATTCCAAGAAATAGTACATGAATTTTGAGGCAAATCCTTCAAGGCTTATTATACTTGAATCAATTACTTATTCATGTACGATTTTGGCAAACTTTTTCACAAGAATTTTCTCTTGTGTCAAGACATCATGTAATGCAACGACCCTCCGTTTTCTTTCCTTTTTTTGGCTAAGTTTTTTTTTACAACGGTTTCCTCTAATTTGAAGACATCGTGTAATGCAACTACTCTCTTTTTATTTCCCTTTTTTGGGGGGGCTAAGTTTTTTACGGGAAGGTTCCTTTTTTTAAAATAAAATTCTGAAGAAAGTGATTGTAAATATGAGAAGAGAAAAAAAAATGACAAGTCATCAAGAGAACAAGAAAAGTGAGAAAAATTTGTCGTGTGTTTTTCTTCTGTCTGTTTATTTTATAATTATGGGAGGATTAGTTTGGAAAGATAGTTTTCATGGGATGGTTCAAACTTAACTTAGATGGTTCAAACTTTACTTAGAAGGGGCTATTGATATATATCATACGGAAAGGGGATTTGAATAGAATGCAAAAAAACAACTTAGAATGTGCAAGAAAATTATGAGCAAACTTTGCATAAAATAAAAACATTAGGGAAATATTAAGGGAAATCTTCACTGGCATTTAGCTGAAATAAAAACTTGTGAAGTGCACTCAATGTACAAGTTGGGGCTGGGCATTGATGCTGGGCATGCATGGACTACTGGGAAGCGGGCACACGAGCCACGGTTCCCGCTAAAAGCAAGCTTAGTGTGAACTTCGCGGGCGCTGCACTCTCTGCTGTGATCGAGCGTCCTTGGGTAGTTGGTGTTATCGCGCAGGCAAGGTAAGTGCTGGGTACCTGGTTTTTTGTTGAATGGGATCCAAATACCCCAGCAGGGTTCATGACTGCACAGAGCCAGGCTGTGTGCAGTGTGTGACCCAGCAAACTTGGCAGATAGGACTGGTGGCCAATCTAGGCGTCTGCGGTTGCCATTAGCAAAATTGGAAAAATAAACCCGGCAGCCAGGTAGGTTGTGGTAAAAACATACCGGCGTGAAGGGGTTAACAACATGACATTCCATCACCTCTTGTGTGATACGCTTATCCAGTGTCCCCTTTTCGGGAAATTGGTCTGGTCATAAGACCTATTAAGTTAGGTTCTCTAGAGGCTTTCCGTCCTTCCATTGAACCCTAAATAATGCCCGTCTTACACGCACCTGTGTCAATATGGCCTTTCTCCTGGAAATGGTTAAGTCGTGGGGAGGCAGCAAACTATAGGCTCTCCCCATTACCGGAGGCTGTCTATGTTGGGAGCCACGTGGTGTTCACGTAATTCCCTTGATCGGCTTCCCGACAAAGGATCAGACTTCCTTACCCGATCCGTCTCTTATCTTTACACTCTCCGCCTCCTTACATCCTGGAAATGATGCGGATAAACTTTGGGGGCCTGTTCATGCCCTGAAGTGGTACCTGACTAAAAGGATAGCATAAAAGGGACGATATTAACCCGTCGCTTGTCACTTTCATGAGACCACACCTTTCGGCGGTGTCAATACACTATTGCCTGCTGGACGGCTTCAGCCATTAGATTTGCTAATCCAGTCTGGCCGTTAAGCTGTGACAAAGGTAGTCATTATTACATCAAGGTTAATGACGTAAGAGCAGGATCTGTGTCTTTCTCTTACTCTCGAGATGCTTCCATTGTAAAAATTTGCAAAACTGCATGTTGGAAGTCTCCTACCTCCTGCAACTTGAGGGATGTCCTGCAGAGTGACATCACAAATGGCAGGACAATCCTACTGTCCGCAGCGCAGAGGTCAAAGGGACCTCCTGAAGGATGGACAACAAGCTATTATGAAGTTCCTTTAATATTTCTTAAATTTATACATTCCACCTTGTGTAAAAGTGTATGCTCGGCATTACACGTGTTGGCACCAATCCCCCCCACATAGACTGGTGCTACTCTGCATATGTAGTGACTGTTTGGGTAGGTAGAGTGCCATAGACTCCTTTCCCACCTTAAGCGTGGGTCAGGTCTACTAGAGAATACCTACCCAAACAGTCTTCTCCTGCCCGTCCTCCCCACTCCGGCTCCAACCTTTTTGAGTGCTTTCGAAAAGGACAGTCATGGCGTGAGGCCACGCTGTACTGTGGGAGGTCAGGGTGCACCATGGGTGATCAAATCTTTTCAGCCAATGAATAATACGCACATGGGAAATTTGCATGTGTAGTGACTACTTGGGTAGGTATTCTCCAGTGGACCTGACCCACACTTAATGTGGGGAAGGAAAATAATTGACCAATTGACAAAGTTGGGTTCTGGGGGTTTCTTGAGGAATCTAATCAGCACACGAAATTTCATTTCAATCTGTGTTGAATTGACATGGAATGACCGAACACCCAAACCTTTGTTTATTCACAGGGTGTTAGCTTGGTGCATACACTTTCATAGGCCATGTCTGAATTACTTGGCTACGGCCTACTATTATGCATGAGTCTATGGTAGTGGCTGCAGCCAGTTTCCGTTGAGTTTTGTGTAATTTCAAGCGCATCAGAGTGATTCGGACGTGGCCATATACTATACTGGTTCATGTGCAACAGTGAAAAAAACAGGAACCAGTCTATCAAAGGGGGTAGCATGTCATGTAAAGCATGTTGGTGATTTTCAGTACGAGTACAGTTGTGACATGGCTGCTAAAAATAGTGGTCAGTGAGTCGTATTTTGAATAGGTTAGGCTTGTGGTTGCACCATGTAGAAAATTTTTCTTATACATGTATGAGTGTGTGGTTCTGAGAACCACAGAACCACACACTCATATGAGAGATATTTTCTATATAAACTCTCAAAATAAGGATGGATCCTCTGCTATTGACAACTGAAAAAAAGTTGGCGATTCCCAGCAGCTTGGTCTTTTGTTCCTAGTAGGGTCTTTTTTAACAAGACCAAACTCTTTTGTCCCTGGTTTCATGTATAAAGCCTATGTCGTATTTTAATGGCCATGGTTTAAGTTAAAGAATTTTTTACTATCATTCAAGTACAGGTACATGTACCTCGATAGTCGAGTACAGTTTGTTTCCAAGTATTTTGCAGCCCAAGTACATGTAAACGTATGTTTCTTCAAGTATGAATACTTGGAAATTCAAGTACAAGTGTAGTACGAATACTCTGAAAATGGTACTTGAGTAGCACTCAAGTACCAGTACTGAGTACGAGAACAACAACACTGCATGAAAGCCTTTTACCCCATTACGTATATAGCACTGATCTGGTTCACACGTGACACGACCAGGGCTCACCATTTGTGCACGTGCCGTCTGCATGTTAGTGGTCGTGCATTATCTAAGACATTTCATTTGCACAGTAGCTGGCAGGGCGTGGAGCTGCCAGTTTGCAGATCTCTAGTCTGTTCTGATGTTCGTCAAAAATTTTGTTTGTTTTTTTCATATACTTATGTAAAGAAGATTTTGCAAATTGAAGGTAACAATTTCATTTGATTAAAAGGTAGAAGAGATTTACCATGCTGTTTAGAATAATGTGGTGCTTGCTTCCTGTGTAGGGAAAAAAGCCATGTTTCAGGCACATGGTTCACTGGGGTCGCACGCAGTGGCATTTGTTATTTAATATTCTCTGTTACGGGTACCCAGGTACCCGATGATGACAAAAGATGGGTAGCCAGTTCCAAAAATGCCCCTAATTGCACACCCCTAACTGGATTCAAATTATATACATTAGCACTTCTGTTCTTTTTCAGGTGGTTTCTAAAAAGAAGATCAACTACTGTGCTGAGTGCAGTCATGCTGTAGACGATACAGCCCTGTTAGTTGCTTCAGATCACAGCTTTTGTTCTCAAGCTTGTCTTGACAATTACCAGGGACGACAGACACTTGTATGTGACTACTGTTGTGGCATGATTACACAAGCAGCAACACAAAAGTTTGTCAGGGAGACACAAGAAGGACAAAAGAAGTTCTGCTCTCAACCATGCTCTGAGGAGTTTTCCAAGAGAGTAAGGGTAAGAATTGAAATGTGTGTTTTAAGGGAAAGGAAAATACTATTTGAGTAAATTTTAGTTCTTGACCTATTATTTGATCCACCAGTAACTCAAACTGAACTTACAAGTTGGCCATCTTGAATCAAAAGCCAGACAGTACCGATAAATATTTTTAAAAGATGTGTGGTAACAAAGACATTAATTACAGGAAAATCACAAATTACCGTTTTTGCACTCTAATGGGGTAGTTCCAAATTATGGATTAAAAGATATGTAAATTTTAACTGAGACAAAGAATATTGTTCAAAGTGAGGTAAAAGCTGCGATTATAGCTAAATACTCGGGCACCCTCATTTATAAGCATTCTAGAGTGCCGAGTAAATAAATGGATTCAGGGAACACTATCTAACATCTAACATAGTTGCCTCTTGACTAAAGCCGACTTGGACATTCCTGTAGCAATTGCTGGCTCTCTATGTAGTAAAACTATCTTAAGTATTCACTGACAGCGCTTTGAAAGTGAGCCTCAAAGGGGTAACCTTTCCACTCAGATGCAGCAAATGTGCAGTATTGGACTTGCTCTCTGCTTGTCATTTTGTCAGTTCACTTTGCTGCCATGGTAAAAGAACTGCATACATATTCATGTTTTATTGATTTGATTTTTTGGGGGGGTGATTTGAAGAACTGTAGCACTTGTGGCAAAGAGATCTCCAAAGCTTCTGAGGGTATTCTGGCTCCAGTTGGCTCAGGGGGCAAGTTTGTTGACTTTTGTCAACAAGAGTGTGTTGACAACTATGGAAAGAAGCCATCAGTAACTCAACAAGACTGTGGTAAACAGGACGGTGGTCAGCCTCGATACTGGGCTCAAGACACATACTTTGTGTGTGCTGTCTGCAAAAATTATGCCAAGGTAAGAGTTTACACATTTGTTAACCCCTTCGTGCCGGGAATTTCTTCCCGAAAGCCGACTCCAAGAATTCCAGCCTCGCTTGGCCATGAAGGCCACCTGCCAAATTGCAAATTTTTGGTTTGTGGCCCTGCGTGCTCTGCACATTCCCGTTGCCTCTTTTCAAAGTGGGGACTATTGTGAAGCTTGTGAGTATGATGTAAATTCGGTCTTTTCATTTCTGGGCTACACACAAAGGCCAATCACCATACATACAAGAGCCAGGGTCTGCCTTCTTTCATGGTGTTGGCTTGAGTGTGGGCCAAGAATAATAGCTGAAAAGCAGGCTGAGGATCTCAATTTTTACAGCGGTTACCTGCGTCGCGGCGCGAAGGGGTTAAGAATGATTGTGCCTGATGATGAAGTCAAATGGACATACTGTTTCCGCCTTGTCCTGTGTGTTTGTGTGTGTGTATGCTCAAGCATTAGCATACATGTACATACATGTAGTGGAGACCCTCACATAAAAGAAGTTCACACAATGTAGGGTAAGAAATGTTTGGACTAGTACACAGTGTTTTCCCTTCTGAAAACAAATTCAGAGGCATTTTATGGTCAGGGTTATCCATGGCAAAATAAACAAAAATAATCCAGGATATCCCTACCAAAAATCCAGTTTGAAGGATACCTCTTACAGCCCGTTCCCACTTGATCCACCAATTGGGGGATCTGACCCACCTTTTGCCAAATTGCCGGATCAGATCCCCAATTGGTGGATTAGATCTGGCAATTGTGTGTAGAGGGAACGCTAACCGTTATAAGGTGGATCAGGATCAGATCCACCTTTCTTGATCCTCCTCTGGAGCAAGATACAGATCCCCCAATTGGTGGATTAGATCTGGCAATTGTGTGTAGTAGGAACGCTAACCGTTATAAGGTGGATCAGGATCAGATCCACCTTTCTTGATCCTCCTCTGGAGCAAGATACAGATCCCCCAATTGGTGGATCTGATCCGGCAATTTGACCTGTCAACATCCGTCCGTGCAAGTGTGGGGCGAAACTTTTGCGGTCTGATGAACAAAGAAATATGTTTTTTGGCATGTAGCTCATGTGAAATTTTTACCGTGCACAGCATGCACAACAAACAACTGCTGAACTACGGGCTAGCAAAATGTGTCACCCCCTTTTTGGTTTGCATTCGTCCGTTTCTTAACCTTTTTCATTTGTGTAATTTCACTTGCTTTCCATTAAAAACTAATCCGTGTTAGCGTATAGCCCGCAACGTGTGACAGAGAATCAAAAACGGAAGCAAAGTTTGAAGAGACAATGTACCAGGTTGAACATTCGGTCCGATTCATGGTCGTCACGTCAGTAGAACTCCGCACCCCAAATCACCGCAGGGTTACAGGCATGCCGCCCCAGCATGCCACGCCACACTGCCACAGAGCGCATGCTCAGCAAGCTAGCACATGCGCAGTACCGAACTCAGTGACCTTTCGGGCGAAAAGGTGGATCAAGCACTAGTGGGAAGGCGACTTGTGGTTTTGTTGTGGTAAGATAACGATCACAACAAAATGCTGGATCAAGATCCACCTTTTCCCAATTCAAGTGGGAACGCGCTGTTAGTTGAGAGAAAAAGGAGCACTTTGCTGAGGTTTTCTTAACCATGGAAGAACAAAGGCATGCCCACACTGTGTAACATGTGAAACAGGCATGTGTGGGTAGGCCTTCCTGGGGTTAAGGCAACAATTTCTTTAGTTGAAATTTGAGACCAAGTTGTGGTGACAATAATTTGTCACAAGGTCACAGTGGTTAAAACAAGACACTTTTGTTTGTGATCCAAAGTTAAACCTGTAGGTTTTGGCATGGGCTTGAAGGGGCATTTGCATTTGTCAACACATCATTCTTTTCATATATGTTTTCATATATGTATTGTTGTCCTCATGTTTTTCAGACATGCACTTTGGGTTCACACATGGTAGAAGAGTTCTGTATTTGAAGTGATAGCCAGTAAGCCTTGCCTAGAACTTCCATGTACACATGCAGCAATGCCACACTGCATGATCATGACTCAAAGTGCAACATTAGTGAATGCACATATGTCACACTATCAGACCCAATTGCACAATCATGGCTGTAATTTATCAAAACATTTGGGATTGGGCTTGTTTAACCAGTTGTTTATTATTATCATTTAAAAAATTTATTAGGTTGCTTGACTTTATTTAAAACTACAAAAATGTACTACCTGTTGGAATGCTTTGTTACATACCGGTAGATTCAAATTCTTAATGTCAACCCATATTTGCTCCTGCACTTTGCACCAGGCAAGCAATTTTAGATTGATTCGCATTTGTTAGTGAAAGACTCTGATATCAAACCTCAATCTTGATTAACCCCAGCCCTCATTATTCTCCAATGACAGCAAAAGTTATCGCTTACTGAATACATGAGATTCCACAAACCAGAAAGTTGTTTTCGATCGCTCCTGAGATTGATAAAGTCCATTTGAACTCACTTCTGCTCAGTTTTGTGGACATGTATAGTTGTGCTCAAAATTATTCATACATTTGGGAAAATAATATACTTTTCTAAATTCTTCATTTGTAAAAGCTATTATGTAGGTACTTCCTCTATATTTTTTGTCTATTTGTTGCAATTGATGTATTTGTGTTGGCTAAACTTCCTTTGCATTATAATAGATATAGCCCAGGCTTCTTTTTTTCTCCCGGTCAAAATTATTTATACCCCAGGTTTTCATAGTCCAAAATCTCTTCTTAATAGTAAACAGCGTGATCTTTATTCTTGATGACTGTCTCAAGACGGTTCCTGTAAGTGTCCACAAGCTTTCTTTATGTCTCCTGTGGGATGTTGGTCCACTCTTCCTTGGTGACAGCCTCCAGCTGGGTGAGGGTAGATGGTCTCCTGACAGTCAATCTGGTCCTCAGCTCCCTCCACAGATTCTCTATTGGATTTAGCCTCCGTCAGGACTTTAACTTGGCCATTCCAGTACATTGTCCTTGAATCACTGCTTTACTACTTTGGTGGTTTGCTTGGGGTCATTGTCCTGCTGATACGTCCAATCAGGTCCAAGCTGGAGTTTCTCAGCAGACGCTTTCACATTGTTATCGAGGATCTTGATGTAATCCTCCTTTTTCATGATGCCCTGGATCTTAATGAGGTTCCCGGTGCTACTAGCAGAGAAGCATCCCCATAGCATTATGATGCCACCACCATGCTTTACGGTTGGGTCTGTGTTCTTCAGCTCGTATGCTTCTGCTTGCTTCCTTCAGACGTAAGCAATATCCATGTGTCCAAACAATTCCATCCTTGTCTCGTCAGACCACAGGACTGATGACCAAAAGGTAGGATCTTGGTTCAGATGTGCCAGACTCCTTAATTCCAAGTATGGATTTGCACCAGGGAGATGTTAATTTTAGATTTTGCCCTGCCCGACACATATTACATGTAGTTATTAATACACGTTGCGCAGGGCAAAAATCTAAAATTAATTAAGAGGCTCCTTATGTTTCTTCCTGGGAAGTGGTGTCTTCCTGGACACGCGTTTGTGGAGCCCTCTTTTATGCAATACTCACTGGATGGTTGCCCGTGACATCTTCGTCCCTGCTTTGTCAATTGTTTCAATTAGGGCCTTAATTGTGATCTGGGATTGTTGTTGGCCTCTCGGTAGATTTTTCTGGTGAGTCTAGGGGATACAGGTACTTTGCACTTCCTGCCACGTCCATTGAGGTTTTCACTGTGTGAACTTCTTATGCTTCCTGATGATACTCTGAACTGTTGCAACAAGGACCTCATATTGCTTGGAAATTGCCTTGTAGCCTTTGCCTTCTGTATGGGCATTCACAATATGCTGGCTTATATCCTCACTGAGTTCCTTCTTGGCCATGGTGACGAGTAACTGAGAATGATCTGAAAACTTTTCCTCTTTTTATACTCACTGAAGGAGATGGCATTTCATCAGAATCTTGAACACAGTGTCATCAAGAGAAGGTATTTATTCTCCTGGAACATCTTGAAATAGCTTCATGCCAAAGATTCTTGCAGTCATAGAAAATGAAAATAAGCAGTATGAATGAAAAAATATTATTTCTCGGGATTTTGTCTGGGGTATGAATACTTTTGACCAGAAGCGAAAAAGAAAGCCAGGCCGTATCTGTTATTATGTAAATGAATTGTAGCCAACATGCGTGTGCCGTGTGGGTTTGTGTATTGCAACAAATAAACAAAAGATATAGTGGAAGTACAAAAGGAAGAAATTAAAAAAGTATGTTATTTTTCAAAGGGTATGAATAATTTGAGCACAACTGTACATGTGGCATGGACTTGGATG